GTGCGGCTTGGTGAATGCGCGATTCTCGAAAGGGCCAAACAACAACAACAATGCGAAGTCTGGCCGTGGACCCTGCAGCCTAGGGCGCCTGCTGCTTGCTCTGCCGTGGTGCGGTGCTCGCCTCAAACCCAAGCGCTGTCCAGGCTCAGCACCTGCTTGGCTTCCGAGATGGGACGAGATTCAAATTTGGAGATGCGCAACTCTGCATCCCAACCCTCATCAACTCTTCCATCTCTCACTGGCCTCGCTGTGTTTGTGCTATGATCAAGGGACCATAGCCCGAAACGTCACCGATTATATATTTGATTTTAAAGCCACCGAAATCCTGATGACTGAGTTGAGTTTTTGTACAAAAGGACGTGTGTGTGTGTGTGTTTGTATATTTAATATATATGGGGGAACGCTGGTACAGTAGTTGCCGCATCGCGCTAAGAACTTGGCTACCTGAGTTCGATTCCCGCTCACGGTCAACATCAGTGACGAACATCTGAACCAGTCCTGGTCCTACCTCTAGGTCGACTCAACCTCACGAGTACCTGGTTCGGTGTGTAAACATATTGCCACGGGGGAGACAAAGACGGCCGGGCGTGGTGCTGGTCACAAATCCCCTCGTGTGCCATGCCGGCCTTCAAAGGTGCTACTCGCTAACAGCACTTGCCCCAACAGTCTGGTAAGGGTAAACGGGGTGTTTTGTTTTACTTTATTTTTGTATCATTAATGTACTCAGCCGTTTGTAGGCTGAGTCGTTAACTAGCATCCGCTTTAGCGTCACACGCAAGGAATTTAACCATGGAAGAAAAGAATCAGATATATATTTATTTTAGCAAATTCATCGCAATCGAATTCGTGCAATGTGGAAGAAGAATTCCGTATATATTATTTTTTATTTAAAGCTTTCGTGACTGCAGAGATTCATCTTCTTGGTTCTTTCGGTAAAGTCACCACGTAGAATGGAAATAAAATAATAATGATAAAAATAATATATTTGTTTATTGTTCTCTCGATTATTATAAAAAAAAATCTTCATATCGATCAATTTGGAAGTCAGCACCCGTACATAATTCTCCAGCTCCAAACGTCAATAGTCCCAAATATATTAGAGGATCTCATTTGGACTATTTTGGGATGTATTTAAAGTCTAGTTATAATCATAGGCTGTACGATAAATATCCCTAAATATAATATGCTTAGCCTATTTTAGAACATTTCTACAATTTCCACATCACTCGCTCACTAATTACCGCTCTTTATATACATATAAGTACGCGCCATATACATATATACAGTAAACGCACAAATAATAAAAGTGCGCGTTATATAAATTCATCTTGCCATAAACAAACCACGTGTGTATACAGTATATACTTATAAATTACATGATACAATTTTATGAAAATACATTGAACTCTTAATCAGCATTAATGTGAGAATCAGCCAGGCCACGCGTGTGCGACCACTGTCTGTCGCTCGTGTCCCATGCACAGGTACTATTTACGCGACTTTGAGAAGTAAACTTACTCACCGACGCGAATTGTAAGTGTTCTAGAGGTGATTCAGCGCGAGACATTTCGACGCAATCGTATTTGTGCAAATTATATTCTTAGGTTTTTTTTAGTTTTGTATATATATTATTGTCGTAAGACAGCATGTGTCCGTTTGTGTTTTCCTTTTAATATGACGAACCCCAAAATTAAATTACATATTTAATCGAAAGGAGATGATTACCGCTCCGCACTAAAATATTTTGACCAAAATGTTAATGCATGTTTTTTTATTTTATTTTATAGACCTACGCCTATTAACGTTTGCGTCTGGTCGTTTTGAATGATGCCGAGTCAAAATTTGGTTTATATTTCAGACTTTCCATGAACTCGTGATGCCGCGCCGCGTGTTTTGAAAGGTTGTGAACGACAACGCCGATATTAGGAAGTGGGTCAAGCCCATGTACCGACATTAGGACCATTGGACGAAACGTCTATTACACGCCCCCGTTATAAGTTTGTATATATCCAAAGACAAAGATCCCCTTTCATATCCTGGTGCAGGTTGTCGGGGCAAGTGCTGTTAGCGAGCAGCGCCTGTGAAGGTCGGCACGGCACACACGAGGGTGGTGAGTGGCCAGCACCGCACCCGGCCGCCTTTGTCTCCCCAGTGCTGAATATGTTTTACACACTGCACCAAGTACTCATTTAAGGCTGAATCCACCGTGTGCCATATCCACATAGACACACACACACAACAATAGCCACTGTTGTATTATAGTTAAACACACACATTGCTTCCCGCATTCACCAGCAAGGTGAAGTATGTCCAATAAACCGCCACCACCCTCACGACGTGATGCGTGGATGGCTCTTCCAGCGGTGGATTAACAATCTGGCGATGTTCTACAGTGGGCAGCTGCTACGCGAAGCCCCCCCCCTCCCCACCTGAGTTTGACTCCCACAAAGACGCAAGGGACCGTACAATGTACACGTGCGCACACAACGCAATGAGTGGTAAGCTGCACGTTTAACTAACACGTGGTGTCAGCCTGCATAAAAGTTACCCGTGTATGCGCACAACTGCGCGTGTGTGTGTAAGCATATATATATAATTAATCATTCTATATATTAATGCGCACAATGTTTGCGTGGGTAATGTATGTATGTATGCCACGTGTATATAAATACATACACCGTGAAAATGCTCTCTGCATGCGAGTTAGATTGTCACGGCGTGAACACGTGTGTTCAAACACTTGTGTACGTGTACATATATGTAACATATATATTATATACATATATAACATATACACACATATACAAGTACTGTAGGTATATATATCAAGTATGTCAATGTTAAATGCATAATTAGTGCTGTAGACGTCACACTTAGCCCGACTTCGTAACGTGCACGCGTGGGTGGGTAAACGTGGCACGAGGAGCGGTGGCGCAGTGGTTAGCGCCACTGCAACGACGAACGCGGCCAGACTTTATTTCGGGTCACCGGGTATGAGTGCCCCCACCAAATCTTCACTAGCCCGCCCTGCCCAGCGTGGTGAAGTATGGTCACACAGCCTCCATAAAGCAGGCGCGACGTGGGGAAGCAATCATCCAGCAGTGGATTGACATTGGGCTGTAAATTACAATTTTTGTGAATGTGCTGTATGTAAAATTGTATAATTATATGGAACGATGACAGTTAAATGTGCATAGACACCATTGTGTGTATATATAGGGATATATATACACACAATTGTATACATCGGGTACATATACACACAATTGTGTATGTCGGGGAAATATATATAGACAATTGTATATATCGGGATACAATTTTGGAGGAGCGGTTCATGAACTGCGCGATAAACCCGGCGACCGGAGTTCGATTGCCGCTCACTATCAATATTGCTGACGACAATTTGAGACGGTCCTGGGCCTCCCCTAGGTCAACTCACCCTTAAACGAGTACCTGGCACGTTGTGTAAACATCTCCACTGGAAAGACAAAGGCGGCCGGGCGTGGTGCTCGCTAACAGCCCTTGCCCCAATAGTCTATTGAGGCTACACGGGGAATCTTTGTCTTTTATTATATATACAATTAATATTATATATATTTACGGAATAGAAGCTGTTACTATATATGTATCAACCGTCCACACGTGTACACACACAATACTCTTAGTACATATATATTTATAAATAGTATATATTCACATAAAATGTACAGACACGCATATGCAATCATTATGATACGCGCATGTAATAACATTACGCGTAGTTGTAAACGCGAATGTCCATATAGGAAACATACACAAGTGATATTCCGAACCAGGTATATGTACATACAAACCTGTGCTGTGCACACATACACCGTACACACAGAATGCAACAAACGTGTGTCGCACGTGCGCCGAATTGTGTCAAAACAGAGCGCGTGAGTCGCGCGCGCGCAACGAGTTGTCCCGTGCACGCGCGCAAACGTTCATGCGAACAGGTAGCTAACGCGCAGTGAACAGTGCGTTGCGACTTGATCAATGCAATGGCGAAGTAGCCCCCGAATAAATTGCCACGCCGCAGTCGTATCGGCGCGCAGGGAATCTGCGTCAAGACGAACCCCAAACAAAATAAATCGACGGCGCGCGCGTGGTACACACACCAATCGCGTCGCGCAATCGACGATCGAGTCAAAGTTGCTCGCGACTTTCGCGTGCTGTTGGGGGGGGGGTGGGGAGTTTGGACCCCGAACTCGGCAACTCCGAAACCCCGACTCGTGCACCCGTCACCCCGTACCCAAGCACGCAACGTGGCCACGAGGACATCGTGGGGGTTTTTTTTGGAAGGGGAGTTTTTGACACCAAGATTCGCTCCGAGACTCATGCCCGCTCGCCGCCCGCCTGATCGCGAGTTTTTCTCAGCTGGTTAAACAAACCGAACAAAGGAATAACACTGGACACTTCATGCGCGTGTGTAACGAAAACACCAAGGATAATCACGTTCACGCGCGCGTTGTGATGAAACACCGTGCAAAACATACGGCCACGCGCATTTTGTTGTTGTTGTTGTAAAAGGTCCACTAATCCAGTAAACATGCCCAGCGTCGCGACAACATTGGGCATGTAATTCGAACCGTTGGACCAGCGTTGACCCGCCAACATCGGGTACCCGAACGTTGCTGCCACAACGTTATCCCAACGTTGGTGCCACAACGTTGCTTCCAACGTTAGCCCACAACATTTACCCCGCGCGCGCTTGTCGCAAACAACACCTGGCGGCGTGAAAACAACGTCGATCCCCTAACGTTGGCCCACAACGTTGCTCCAACGTCGGCCCACAACGTTGGCCCAACGTTCGCCCACAACGTTGCCCCAACGTTCGCCCACAACGTTGCCCCACGACGTTTACGTGGCGCACGCTTGTCAAGAGTCGTAAAACCATAACACTCGCTGCGCCGCGAAAGCACCGACACACGGACACGCACAAAGCCCCCCACCCCACCGCGGACCCCAGGCGCTCGCACCTGTTCTTGGCCGCCGCTGCGCGGTCCCTCTGCCGCCGATTCTTGAACCAGTTGCCGACCTGCGTCGGGGTGAGTCCCGTGGCCTGGGCCAGCTCCCGCTTCTTGGCCGGGTTCGGGTACGGGTCCTGCAGGTACCACTCCCGCAGCAGGCTGCGCGTCCGCTCCTTGAAGCAGTGCGTCTTCTGCTCGCCGTCCCAGATCGTGCGCGGCAGCGGGAACTTCTTGCGTACGCGGTACTTGTCCACGGGCCCCAGCGGGCGGCCCCGGAGCCTCTCGGCCTCGAGGTAGTGCGCCTCGAGCCACATGGCCTGCAGCTTGGCGTGCGACGCCTTGGAGAACTTGTGCCCCTCCAGGATGGCGTACAGGTCGCGGTAGTTGCTCGCGTGGAACGCGACCACGGCTCTGGCTCGCAGGACGGCCTCTTGGCGGTTGAGGGCCTCCCAGGCGCCGGGGGCCACAGGCAGGGACCAGAGGAAGCGGCCCAGGCGCTCGATGTCGCCGCTTTCTTCCAGAGTCTCGCACACGCTGGCAACCTGCTGGGGGCTAAAGCTCAGCGTCGGTAGCGCGAACATTGGGCGCCGATTTCTTGTTGGTGTGCGTAATCGTTTTTGTTGTTGTCGTCGTTTGTTGTTGTTGGTGGTGGCGACTTTGGTGGTGGTCGTGTTAGTGGGACATGCACGCTATTGCCGGGATGAATTCCCCCAAAGCTCAAGCCTGGATGCTGCTGTTGCTTCTGACGATGATGGAGGATGCAGAGCGGACGTAGCCGCCGCCGCTGCTGCTGACGGTGTTGATGGCGGTGTTGATGGTGGTGTTGATGGTGCTGATGTTAACAGAGAGTCGAGCGCGCGCGCGGCGGCCGACGCTGACCAACAGCCGTTCTCGGCACCGTCCCCTATAACGGCGACAATGCGTCCCAGGGAGGCGTGCGATAATGATGATGATAATGGCTCCTCCCGCGAGGGCAGTGAGCTCGCCGATTGCACGCAAAATGCGCAAACTTTTACTCTGGCATCTCATCTCATATCAGAGGCCCGTATCTCTTCCTCTCTCCCTCCCACCCTCGCGCGCTCTCCCTCCCTCCCTCTATCGCTCGCTCGCTCTTTCCCCTCTCCTCCACACACTCTCTCCCCCTCTCTCGCTCTCCCCAAACAGCATCGCTGTTTCCGTACGACGCTGCCCCTTAAACGCTTTAACGCGCGTCTCTCCATTGGCTCGCAGTGCCATTTCGGGCTGGTTGTCGTGGAGACGCTGCCAATCAAATCCTATACCCCGCCCTGCCCCCACAACCTCAGTCCCGCTCCTCCCCACCTTAACATCCCATCACCACCGCCACCACCACCATCATCATCAGGAGCGCCACCTCCCGCGATGCCGCTGCCAATCAAATATCGCGACGCGCGCATCCATAACTCGGGGCCTTGGGCGACACAAGCACGCGTCATCAATGATTATGAGCACCACAACAAGGACAACAACAACAACAACGACGACAACACCGCCGAGAGCGACAATGGTCGCATTGTTCACGTATAAGCGTACACCGCTGGGGCAAAATCTGTCCCCGATCGTAACGCGCTCGCCAAGTTTTAATGGGTATTTATGTACGCGTTCACACGCCGCGCGCGCACGATTGTTTGTACAGAGTCGCTACTTAAAGGCGGTTCACACACACGCACAAGACAAAGATCATCCGTAGAGCCTTAACAGACTTTTGGGGCGAGTGCCGTTCGCGAGCAGCACCTACGATGAATACTGGCACGGCGCACGCGAGGCGGTGGGTGTGCCAGCACTGTGCCAGGCCGCCTTTGTCTCCCTCGTGGCGATGCTTACGTGCCGCAGCAGGCACTCTCGCGTAAGGCTGAGTCGACCTAGGGGAGACCCGGCATCGCTTCGGATAATCGTTACTGGTGTTTGGGCGTGTGAGCGGGAATCGAACTTGGGTTCGTACAAGCGCGTCAACACGTGCGAGATGGATACGTGCAGCGTTAAGGGTGCGTGCAATGCTGTTCGTGTACAAGATGTATGCACATGCAGTGAGTGCACTCCCTGAATAAGATCTACTCATCGAGCCCAACCACTTTCCACGTGCGTCTACCAATGCTTGAGCCGTTTGGGAATATATTTGAATGTTTAATGACTGGCGCTGATAGTACTCCATAAGGGGAATACAGTTCTGATCGTGATCATCATCGTCGTCGTAATGACACCGCGTGGACCTTTAATAATGTTACTGACTATGATGTCAGATGTATGTCGTAAACATTCGCTCGTTGCTTCTGCGGTATAACGAAAAAATAACTATCAATAATAATAATAATTGCTCGCATAATACATTGCTCTGTAATTATACAATTGTGCTTCAGCGCACACGGACATGCATTGATCTCAATTTAATGTATACAATTACATTCCCCCTACGTGTGCGTAATTTCTTTGGAAACGTTAACTTACATCCAAATGGTGTTTTAGAACAATATGTAAGTCAAGCGTCACGGGGCTTTGGCCGCTGTCCATTGACTTTAGCGTCGCGCTCTCGCTGAGTTTGGATAATTGGGGATGCTGCTGTATTGGCATTGGTGTACAAGCACAAACAATAACAACAATAATAACAATAGCAACAACAAAAACTGCTTCCCCGTTACGCGCCGCACGCGCCCGATGATTACTAAACACGCCCGGTTCCCATCCCCCCACGTCAAGTTGAAAACGCTCATTCACACTGACGACAACAACACACACTCAACACATTCGTTAATTACGCAGTGGACTTCAAATTCATAATTTAAACAAAGTAGACAATATGTGACGTTTCGGGCAATGCCCCTTCTTCACAGCATGCAGAGGGACCAGAATGGCAGAGTGAGTGAAACCAATCAATCAACCCAACACCCGCCCGCGTGCATTGTTAGGGACTAGATTTCTAAAATGAGTTGGTTTGGTTGTTTTATCCATAATAAAGGTTGTTTTGTGTTAGATCGCGTATTAGGGATGATATTGATCGCGAAAGCCTTCGTGTTTAACTTGGTTGTTTAAATTTTGATTTAAAGCGGTTGTTTAAGTCGTGCGAGTTATGTACTCGACGAAGAGTTGTGCAAATTGTATTATTTCTAGCCATTTTACAGAATCTTGTATAACAACGGACACTCGTCACTCACTCTACCAGGGCCGTGATGTCTCGTGATGCGTGCGATCACATCGCTTGGAAAATATAATGGCTCGTTAAAGGTTCACTGCGTTATCGCGAAGCGGCGAAAATCGGCAACATTTAAACTCAAAAATACATGCAACGCAAGTATAGCAACGCTCTAGACTCTATGCACAATACCGTAATCGTAACACTCTACGACTCAGTCATTCGTATCCTCTAGACTATATCCGTGACTCAGAAATCCTAATACTCAAGAAATTATCCGTGACTCAGAAATCCTAATACTCAATAAATTATCCGTGGCTCAGCAATCGTAACGCTCTAGACTATATCCGAGACTCCGTATTCCTTAACACGCTAGACCCTATCCGCTACTCGGCAATAAGAACCCCTCTACAGCCAAGAAAGCCTATGACTACATCCGTGACTCGGCAATAGAATGCTCTGGACAGTGTGCGTGACTCAGCGAAGGCATGTCTCCGGAGATAGATTTGTGGCGAGGGTCCATAGCTCGCTGGCCTGCGAGGCAATCAGGCAGTACAGCAAGGAAGGGGTCGTGAATTAACCCATCATTGGTACTTTTACGAAGAACACGGAGACATAGACGGATACATCGCGTATATTTACATTACGTGCGTTATTTAAAAAAAAAATACGAACACGTGGATACTGCACGTTTACGCACGCGCATTATTATATATGTCACGGGCATATGCACGGATACATCACACATATGCTTGCTACGCTAAGACATTCATTCGTGCGTTCAGTGATGAGACAAATATCCTCCTTTGTAGCCTTCAGCAGACTGTTGGGGCAAGTACTGTGAGCGAGTGTGTCGGTGGCCAGTACCACGCCCGGCCGCCTTCGTCTCCCTCGTGGCGATGTTCATACACCCCACCAGGTACTCAATTGAGGCTGAGTCGACATCGTGGGAAGCCCGGGACCGGTTCATATATTCTCCACTGTTATTGGTCGCGAATGGGAATCGAACTCGGGCTCGCTGGGGTTCGTAGCGCAGCACGCGAACCGCTACGACACCGCTCCCCCACGCATACATACACGCATACGCACAGACGGCATCGCAACGTACATACACAATCATACGCGCGCGCATCACGCACGCGCGCGTATCACGAAGCGACGTGCGTGCGTTTCAAGGAGCCACGAACGCGCGTGGTCACGGAGGCCGCGGGCTCGGGGTGAGGGCGCGCGCGTAAATCAGTCGGCCGTCTCGTCCCCCGCTCACTCTCGCCACGGCTTCCCCGCGGCCCCTATCGCCCGCACGGATCCACAGGGACCCGGCGCGCGCTGGCGCGGTGCGCTCCGCGCGCAAGCCTCTGAATTGCCCGTGCGGTCATAGTTAGGCCTCCTGCTACCGCTACTGACGCACGTGGGTCATTTGTTGCGCTGTCAAATCTATACCGGCTCGTTCAGTCTCTGCGCCCTCGCCCGATCGTTGGCGCGCCTCCACTTAGCCTAAGAGCTCTGCGAGGCGTTTTTATCTTGGGGGGGGGGGGGGGGGGGGGGGTTGCACGGCGTGTTGTTCGACGTTCCGCTCACGCGTGTCTCCCTCAATTATACGCAGGAGTGTTGCCGGCTGCTGCCGCTGTTGGTGATTGACGTAGGGCAGAGATGTAGCGCTCGTAGTATGCACGCTAATGCATTACATCGGCCGGCCTCCATCATCGAAACGTCGGGCACCATGTCGAACAACACTGGGGTGCAAATCACGAAGACACGCCTTCCGTGGACTTCAGCGTGCACTGGGCTGGGTTCGAGACAAAGGTGGCCGGGCGTGGTGTTGGCCACCCACCCCCTCGTGTGTTGTACCGGCCTAATTCATAGGTGTCGGCTAACAGCACTTGCCCCAACAGTCTGTTAATTTCTATACGGGGGATCTTTGTCTTGTTTTAGTGTTGCTGTGTAAACATGTACGTGTACACGTGTTGTTGAAAGTACATGCAATGTCTGTGTATGTGTCTTTGTGTAAACATGTATGTGTGTATGCATGTATACATGTGTGCGAATGTGAATAGTGTGAATGGATACGTGTACTGTAGGGATAACTCAAGTATGCATATGGTATGCCATATTTGGAAGAAATACTATTATTTCATAAATAACATTACGTTAATAGATACACTGAGTATGGGTGCTCTGCATATACCTATATCTATGAATAATTATATGATTTAATACATTATATTACGTTATTATCTGTATGCCTGTGAAATAATTAGAACTTGCTAAAGCAATTTCTGCTTTATATTATCGTTATCACGATTTGCTCGAGATGCGGACTAACTGACTTTAATCAAACACGTTCACAGCAAGAAGTGCTCACGGGTTGCAATGCAGACTCAGAATCATAACATAGACTGGAGGAGAAATATCCGATGAGCTACAAAGCTCTTTTCACAGATGTCCAGTAAGGGGCAGATGAGCGAGTTACAAGAGCAATACAAATACACAACGATAAGAGTGCAACACAGAGAAAAGGGTAAGCGAATCATAAATAAAACATTACTCAAAATATATAACTACAAATTACTGAAGTGTAAATTGCGTACAAAGAGGTGGCTGTTGGTTGAAGGAGCATTGCCACGGACCCGATTACCGAATAATGTATTGCCCCTAGCGAAGATAACGTTCGCTACCTGCGCGTGGTTAAAGTTCCACACCTTTGGTACGGAAGCCCCTATAACCATCACCAACCAGTGCTTAATCTCGGCCGGAAATCACGGTCCGAGAATAACTTGAGTACGACATTAATTTACCCTGATATGTCCAGTGTGTGTGTGTATATATATAGAGACATCTATTCATAGGGCTACATGAATATAGGGTACAATAATATAGGATTGTTTACGGATAGGCGCCACCTTGTACTTCGGTGGTAATTCCTAATGCCGATAA